CAAGTGAAGCTGCATTCCAGGATGGCAACTGAGACTTGGCTTTCCTCAGTTTGAGACAGACCTTTTAACCTCTCCAGTTTTTTAAACTTCACTTTGCAGTGTATTGATCAGGACCATCTCAGTAGTTCCCTGAGTGCTTGAGTCATTTATGTATGCTAGTTTGGATAATTAATGCCTTTTGGGGAAGTGCTTGTATTTCCAAATAATTTCTTATTTTTCTACTTCTTTATTGAAACTGTAATTTTGTAATATATTAAAAAAATATACCAAAAAATGTGGTTTGACTCCTTCTTTCTGGCTTTAGCATTTATTTTCTTGTAGTAAGGCTTACTGTGGGTTCTCCTGGTGTACGAGAAGTCCTTAATTGTACTGGGGGAAGGATTGTCCTTTTGGTTTGTCAACCAGGGGGAGGAAAATAGAGCCATAAATCCAGGAGCTGCTGGAAATACATTTGTCACCCTGAGGCAGCCTCCTTTTGTCTCTCTGCCAAAGTGAACCAAAGAGAGGTAGGTTTGCTACTGTAGAAGGAAAATATTTCTTCCAAGGTGGGGAGGACTTGAAATTAAGCAATAATGACATTATTCCAGGTCTGTGCCTCATATCAGACAGGAAATAGGTAATTTTGTAACAAAATGACAGCATGTGGATAAAAATGACTTTAAGATTTAATGGATCATTATTAAGAAAATGTGATACTGTGCAGAAACTCAGGAATATTTTGACTTCTAGTTGTTTGCTGTCTAGCCTGTTCCCCGAGGTAGTGAGCTAGGTAATGCACAAGAGTGGAAATTCAGGTTAAATTCATTGACCATGAAATTTTGAAGCTCAATGTACAGCAAAACCAGAGCCAAAGATATCAGTGGTGAGGGGAAAAGATTTGTTAACATCATCAACACTCTGGGTCTTTAGTGCAAGGACTATATTCCTATCAACAGGGTGAGATTGCACTTTAAATACAACATTTCGGGGCTGTCAACCTGACAGTCCTCCAGCCTTCCATGACAGCTATGCTTTACCTTGCTCTCCTCTGGTTTTTAACAGCAAAGCTGCTTTTTGCAGAAGATCTGTTCATCTTTTACCCCCCCAAAATCTGGTTTACATTTCTTCATGCTTCACATGCCATGTTGGCACAGATTTCTCTCAAGGAGGTGCCCCAAAGCCCTGCCAAGTTGCTGCCCAGTTGAGACATGTTAGCAGAAGTGGTTGTATCTCTTCCTCCACTGCAGCCATTGCCCTGTCAGAGCAGCAGGTTTTAATTTTTTCCTTTTTTTTCCCCTCTTTATTTTTCTTTAAGGGCACAGTTGTGTTTGCCACACAGAGCACTTGGTACATTCCAGCTACAGGTTTACACAACAAGCTTAATCTTTCCTGTGCAGTAGCAATACCAATCAGGCAGCACAGAGTGCAGCTGAACCAACCCCCTGGGTGATCCTCCTGCTAATTATAGCTCTGGTTTGTACTGTTCTGGGGTGTTTATACTTCAAACTGTAAATGCTTTCTCCTTCCCAGCCCTTTTGTGGAGTTGTTTTGTCACATATTCTGATTTTGTAACATGGTTTAGAAAAAAAGCCATCTGAGCAGCCAGGGAATGCAAGCAGCTCCCAGTTTGCTGTGTGTCTCTGGGGCCTCTCTGACAGCTGAAGAACAAATTTTTCACTGAATAGATGTTTTTCTGACCAGAAGTGCTAGTGTGGAATACATGTGGAGGCAATAGCTTGTATCTCTCAGAGCTGTCCCTTTGAAAGTATTTTAACTTATTTTGTAAACAGAAGTACTTAACTTTGGTCATGAGCATGTGATACATATAAAATTTATGGCTGGTTGACAGAATTTTGGAGGAGTGCAAGAAGGTCAGTGCTTTCAAGAGGTCACTGGCAGGTTAGGCATATGCAGCTAGCCATGGAATTTATAGAGGAATGAAATCATTGCTGTAATTCACAAAACTTGTTTACAAGCAACTAGTGCTGATGTCCCTTTTTATCTGTCCTCTCATGCAACATGACTGACTTAGGATTCCTTAATCTATCCCCAAAAGAGGGAGAAGCCTATATTGGCTCTTCAACAAATGGTAACTGGCCTGAAGAGTGTTTCTAACAAGTCCTTTTCCCTGTCTTTGCTGTAAGCAGTGTCGGGAGAGGAAAAACAGGAGGGAGGGAGAGCAAGTGGCTGGGTGAGGAAGGAGATCTAACAGGAGAGAGCATGAAAACC